GACTCTTATCCTCAGGTCCTTTGAGGGGACTTGAATCCTCAGCCATCAGAAGCAAAAGCACTACCAAGTGAGATACAAGTGACAACATTTAATAATTCAAGAAGATGTTCCAGCAACTCTCAAGCTTTGGTTAATTGTGTTTGATTATCAATTCTTAGGTCAAGATATAACTAACAAATAAAACATACCTTAAGGATCCTCTAACTTCCAGCCTTCATCCAAAATGATAAAGCTTGACAATTATTTTCTAGAAAGCGTACAAAGCATACTAAAATTCTATCCTAAATCATAAGCAATCAAGGAATCATGACTCTCTTATCCTTCTGATTCTCAATTTTGAACATATGGATAGCAAACTAAAGGCACTGAAAACAGATTTAGTTACACTGTCCCTCAGTCTTTTCCAACAAAATTGCACAATGTCCTGTAAAGTGTTGCTGTAATTCTTATTCTAGAAAAACAGCAAATGAATTTCTTCACTCCACCCCAAAAAGGGCCAACTCTCATTGCACCATAATTCATAGGGCCACATTCCTCCTGTAAGTCACCAAGTGGTGTGCATGTCCACATTCACCAAATGAACCATGGCAGGATATTCCACTCGGGCAGGAAGAAGGAATTGCAGCTCAACCAGATCTTGCTCTTGGCCAATGCTCTATAATACAGGATCAATTAACAGGGAATAAGGAGGACAGCAAGTTCTGATGGATTTTCCACTCTTCCTCAAGGGTAGAAATGCCAAATACTGCAGTTTCAGCCAAAATCACACAGGAGACAGGAGGTTAAACATGACATCTAAACAGCGTACTTAGAACCACAGAAATGGTACAGCACGTAAGGAGGGGGGATTCAGCCCATCTTGTCCATACCAACCCAAACACACCCAGACGCCCTTTTTAATCCCATCTTCATGCACAAGGTCCATAGCCCTGCAACTTACTGCACTTACAGTGCAGTTAATTTTTAAAGAGTTTAGGGACTCTGCCTCCACTAATCGACTCAGGCAGCAAATTCCAGACACCCACCACCCTCTGCATGGAAAGGTTTTTGCTCACATCCCCTCTAATCCTTCTGCCACTTAGCTTGAATCTATGACCCCCTGGTTTATGAACTCTGCCCAGGAAAACAGGTTCCTCCTGTCCATTCTTTCTCTACCCTTCAATTTTGTTTACCTCAATCATGTGACCCCTCAGCCTTCTCTGTTCCAAGGAAAACAACCCCAATCTTTCCAATCTCTCCGCTTGTTACTATTCACCAGCCCTGGCAACATTCTAGTAAATCTTCTGCACGCTCTCCAGAGCAATTATGTCCTTCCTGTAATGTGGTGACCAGAACTGCACACAACACTCCAGCTGTGGCTTCACCAGTGTGTTATATAGTTTCATCATTAGATCGCTACTTTTGTATTTTGTACCTTTGCGAATGAAGTAGAACATTCCATATGCCTTCTTTTCAACCTTACCTACCTGTATTGCCACCTTTATGGACGTGTGCATTTGCACACCAAGATCTCTCCACTTCATCTACTCCTGTCAGTACGTTTGTGTTTATATTGTGTATTCCCTTTTACTCTGACCTCCCTAAAAGCATTCCAACATGCTTACTGGAGCTGAATTTCATCTGCCATTTTCCTGCCCACTCCACCAAACCATCTATATCATTTTGGAGCTTACAGCTATCCTCAATATGGCCAATTTTTGTGTCATCTGCAGATTTCCCAATTGTGCCCCCAAAGATCAAGTTCATTTAATCCAGGAAACATTCTAAGCCATTACTGCTTTCATACAAGAGGAAATTTTATAAACAGGTGACCAGTTTAGCCATCCATTTCATAGCTTATGATGCTGAGTGGAAAAGTGAAGGGCCCCCACATCACATCTTGGTGGGTAGATTGATACATTTCAAAGTCAAGGTCTCACATCCACAAATACACATCCCAATGCGCCTAAACCTGAAGTAATAAAATGAAAACTGTGGGCTTTGAAGTTTTGCTGTGGCCTGAAAGGACATCCAAGACCAGTTTGGTCTAGTTCAGCCTTAGCAAGGGAGGAATTCATAGTGAAAGGGAATGAGTTCCCTTTTTGTCACTGGGAACATAGCTCAGTACAGGGGGAGCTTGATTTGTATACATTGGAGATGCCAGGATTAAACTAATCGAAATGCACAAAGCCTGGGCTCAACCCTGGCATCATCAATCTAGACATTCATTGCTAACCACGCATCAGTTGGCATCATCCCAATCTCTGTAGCACCAGGTGGTTCAATCAACTCCCACGTCAGAAACCTGAACGAGCACAAAAGTTGAGGCTGACTTTTCAAATATATTAGTTCAAAGGATGTGGGCCTCCCTAGCTAAGCATTTATTGCCCAGAGGGCAGTTAAGAGTCATATGTAAGCCAGACCACATAAGTCTAACAGATTTCCTTCATTATAGAGAAGCACAGCACAGTAAGCATGTTGCTTTGTTAGGGGTACAACTTTTTCAATGTGACATTAAACGGAGGTCCTTTCTACACTAAAGTAAACCTCCCATGATAACATTTCAAAGAGTTACGGCGGTAACCTCTACGTCCGGTGAATAGTGATTCTCAGCACAGGAACATTATTTGACTATGATCACATTTGTTTGAGGGACACTGCTACGTGCAAACTGCCAGTCAATACAAGTTAATTGGTGTTAAAGCTAATTCTTGGGCAATGAGGCATGAGAAAGTTATTTTTAAAATGCAAACCTTGCATAGTCTGCAATCTAAATTCAATAACAAAGACAGAACAACACAAACCTGTATCATACGCCCAATGACATGATCAGTCATTTTGAAAAATAACTTGGATTTTCCACCTACTAGCCATGAAATGTAAAGGGGACCAGAAATACTGAACTTGTCCAATCATATTCAAATAAGTTCTTTATTTACTTCAAGTATAGCTTCTGTTTGGGAATAGTTTATATTCATATTTTGACTACACTTGGGTTATTCAAAACTTGCTGCCCATGTATTAACTCAGTATCTCCAGTTCTTCAATCATGCTTGTGCTTATTGATTTACATTATCCAAGCAATGTCTATAATTACAAAATTCTCAAACAAAATTTTAAATCCCTCTATAGCCTTATCCCTTCCTATCACTGTAATCTTCCCCTGCCTCAAAACTCAAATCTGCACTCTGCCAATTCTGATCACTTGTACCTTGCCAATTTCATGACCTTTGCTTTAAACTGCTGAAGTTCCAAGCTCTGGAATATCTTTACTTCATTACCTCATGTTCGTCCTTTCAAGGTATTCCTTAAAAGCTACCTCTTTGAACAAACTTTTGGTCATCGTGACCTAATAGCTCAATTTGTGGCTCAGTGTCATATTTGGTTTTACAATTAGTGGGAGCGGGGTTAAAGAGGGGATTTCATTATGTAAAGGCTCCATATTGTGCAACTCGTTATTAATTGCATTGCCTTCCAAATCAAACAGCATCCACGCTTCAAAACTTTCATTTAATCATAAAAACATTGCTTTTAGTCCCAAAGTAATTGGGAGTGTAATGTCACAAATTCAATAGCGAATAACAATTCTGCCTTTGTGGACATTCTGCCTATTTTATTTAATTCCAGGAGATAGCTAGTTAATATTTTGTGACCAGTGTAGTAGTATCTCAGCACTGAATGAACATGCTGAAAAAGATGTATTCCACCGTGACGCTTCTACACATAACACACTCCATCCTCCTTGCCCCATGGGATAGCAGCTACACCAGTTCATTGACTGAATCTGGAAGCGTGGCCCTCCATCAGAAAGTCTTATACCTCAACATCCATCACTCGGAAAAGTATAGCAATGACATGTTAGCAAATAAGTGGTAATAAAATTAAGTAGATTTGTTAAATTGTCTGATGTGTAAAAAGACAATCAGTGCATCAAAAACATTTAAAGAGACAGGAAAAGATATGTGTTTGCAAAATGGATGAAATGCTGTCCATTTATGGCTCTTACAGCATTGTGGCTATTTTTTTCATGCATCAGTTGCTTCCGCAGAAAATAGACAAAACTTTCTGAAAGTGTTTCCCCACAACGAGTTTCAATCACTGCGCCAGATAAAGTCAGAACTCGGCCACATCACAATAAACAGCCCACACAGGGATTTCTGCAGAAAGTCAATTATTACTCACAGCTGGAAGCAAGTACAGAAATGTCGTCATTTTAAAGAGAAGAGAAAAATATTTTCGTAAATGACGACAATCATTCGAAGTTTGAAAATGCAATTCCTGAAACCCTTCCACGTACTCATCACTAAGTTCAGAGGGACAGTGCCAATCACTAAGAAAGTAGATTTACTCAAACTATTGGTAAATGATTTACTTGAAGCTGTCGCATCTGATAAAACTGGAAATATACACAAAGAGAAATAAATCCTCACACTACTTCACCATGCAGTGTGTGTCACTACGCAAAAACAAATAGATTTGCAAAAGCACCAACCTCTGTACATGAGCTGTAATGGCATATCCAATTTTATATCTGTCCAAACACAAGCTAATAATTTCACACCAATGTGAAATTTTGATAGAAACCAAGAGAATGATAACAAGGAGCTGAAGAGTTAACATTCTGAACACCGCCATCCCTCCAAAAAACCTCATTTCTTAGTTACCTTCCCCCTCAGTCACGATCCTATCCAAGTCCAGACGCCTGCCATTTACAACTGAATATTATAGCAGCCCAATTCCTAACATGTAATTTATTTTTTCAAAAAGATCGTCCAAATATAGGTGGGGGGAGGGTCTATTACATAACCATTCTATTACAAAGCAAGAGAGAGAAAATGCAACAGAATGCAGCCCAGCCAGGGTAACATCAAAAAAAAATCAACAAGTCTGGATTCAACCAGTATTTAATTATTTCCAGACACACATCCCTATTACCGCTCCCCCCCTCAACCCCGAACAAAAAAGAAAACAAACACACACAAATCAGAATAAGGCAACAAATAAAAGAACCGATCGCTCACCGTGTGGACGTCCCTTTCCGTACATCACAAATGCTGCATTTGAAAGCTTCCGCACTGTTCCTGTAGGTGCAAACACTACAGTCCCAGAAGCCGTCCTCCGAGCCAGGTTTGGCTTGCCTCTTTGGCCTTGAAAAACTGCAATAAAAACAAAGAGGAACAGCGTTAGATCTTTACTGTGTACACAGACAGACACATACACACTCACTCTCACTCACACACACACACACACACAGAGACTCCGACATTATTGAGCCAGACACACGAGCGCCGCTCACCTCCCATTGCCGAGGCATGCAGAGAGAGAAAAAAAAAATCGCCTGTTTTCTTTTCTTTCCCACCCCCCTCCCAAACACACA